ATTACTATTTTTAAACAATTTTTCTTAAAAAGTTAATTTTTCTATAGCAACAAAAGATAATACTAATAAGCAATATAATGTTACATAGTTACATAGTTATAATTTGTAACTAAAATAATTTATATAGTTTATAAATTTATATTTGTGGTGTTAGCTGAAAGGAATCATCCAAATTATATTTGCCTTTCATACTATCCTTTTCTCCTAACTTACTACAATGAATCCAGGTGAGAAAAAGTATTTTCGGAAAACCAAGGGAAAACAAAAATTGCTAGTTATTTGATCTCTGCATTTCACCAGAGAGCAGAGCCAAAGTTGAAAGTTTACAAAAGTATTTTATCGGAGAGTAATCTGAAGAAGAATGAGTGGGGTGGTGGGGGAAATGAAGCAGAGAAGAAAGAGCCAATACAAGAGCATGAGGTGATCCCTGCAATGGGAGACAAGGTGCTCAGTGAGAAGTCAAGTGTCTTGCTTACTTTTCTTTCATTATTGAGACAAAATACCCAACACTCAAAATTAAGAAAGGAAATGATTATTTAGCTCGTGGTATATGCAAGTTTCAGTCCACAATCAGCTGGTTCCAGGGTGGCACGACATAAGGGCAACACTTCAGCAAAAGCAGCAAGAAAAAAAGTGGGGGAAGAACAAGCCTCTTTTCTCTCCTTATATTTTAATCAGGATACCACCCGCTAGCGTGGGTGCAGCACTCACCTCTTGCACAGGATGAGGATGTTAACGAAGTGAACACCCTGGCCACCTGCTGAGTAGTTTCATTAACTTCAATATTTCTAAGGTGACACAATGAATCAGCCATTATACCGTGTAAAGAGCACCCCATGGCCATTCACTTGTAAGTGGAGATGAGGAGTGAAGTACGTACGAGAGTGTAGAGGAGCAATGAGAGATGTATTCTTATATTAGATTTTATTTCCTACTGGTCAACGTATGTCCCATGGGGAGCTACTTTCAGCGCTGTGTATGTATAAAGTATGTCTGTCAATACATTCCTAGAGAAGTCTTGAGGCTGAAGAAAACAAGCATGTAGTGTGGGATTGAGATAAAACCCTCTTTTGAGTCTGTGATGAATGATGTGATGAAGACTAGAATAGGGTAGGGGAGGCCAAAGGATCTGTAGGATGTGTCATTACAGGTGAAATAACCCCTGGGTTTTGCACAGTTGAGTAAATTTTCTTTTTAGCATATTAATCGATCGTCATTAACTACTTTTTCTATTAGAATCCTCAGATAAGATTCCAAAATATCATTCACGGTGCAGTATTTGACTGAGAAATATGAAAAAGATAAATTATCTAAAGGTATATGATAGAGTAGAAGCATGAGTTTGGGTAAATATATCATGTATTTAAAGAATCTCATTCTCTTATCCTAATATTTAGAGAAGGCAGAGTTGGAGATAAGCATAGCAGTCTGTGTCTTGTGAGTCAGAATAGGAGCTTCAAATGCCTGCCAGGCATGATCAGAGTTGTTGAGTACGTAGAATTGAAGGGACAAATATTATACTGAAAGAATTTAACTCAATACGTACGGAACACTTTTATCAAAGTCATTTTCTCCAAAAATTAGATCTTTTAGTAAGTATAGTTTACTGATTGTCTTAAATTTATGATGAGGCTACACTAAGATAAACCAATTATGAGTTGAAAATATTGCAAATAATATATTTAATAAACCTAACTTATCAAATACCATAACTTAGCTTAGCCTATCTTTTTTTGTTAGTGTATATTAGTGATATACATTAATGAGTGTCATTTGGCAGATTTGCATGTGTATACAGCATATTTTGATGGCTTCCTTTCCCATTTCCCTTCTCTCAGCCTATCTTTATTCCTTTCTTTTTCTCTAATAGCCCTCTTTCTACTTTTATGAGACCTCATTTTAAAAATTCAACATAAGAGATAAAATATTCAATATTTGTCCTTCTGAGTATAGCTTAATTTGCTAGAAATGATGATCACTAAGTCAACACATTTTCCTGCAAATTATATGATTTCATTCTGTTTTATGGATGAACAATAGCCCATTATAAGTATATACCACATTTCATGTTAGTACCATGTTGTTTTGGCTACATGGCTTTGTATTTTGTACTGAAGTAGGGTATTGTGATATCTGTAACACTGATCTTTTAGTTTATAACTGTTTTGACCAGTCTAAATCTTTTGTGTTTTATATGAATTTTAGGATTTTTTCTACTTCTTTCAAGAATGTTGCTATTTTCATGGGAATTGCATTAAGTCTGCAGATAAATTTTGGTACCATGGTCATTTAAACAATAATTTCTACCAATTTGTGAACATGTGAGAACTTTCTGTCTTCTAATGTCTTCTTCAATTTCTTTCCTCAATATTCTATAATTTTCACTGTAGAGGTTCTTTGCCTCCTTGATTAGGTTGCTGTCTTAGGCATTTTTCTTTTTGAAGCTATTGCAAATGGAATTGTTTTCCTAATTTTTCTCCTGAGGTATATAACATTGGTATTATTATTGGTATATAACATTTTTTTCCACGTGGATTTTGTATCTTTCCACATATTGAATTTATTTATCAGAGGTAAATGACTTCTAGTGGAGTTTTCAAGTTAAGGGATCATATCTTCTGCAAATAGAAGAATAGTCCAAATTATTCTTTCTTATTTGTACCCCTTTTATTATTTTTCTCTTTGTTTTCTAATCTAATTAAAATTTTTTTTTATTTAAAGAGAAAAAAGCAAAACAGAGAAAAGGGTAGAAATAATATAAAATTTCAAAAAAATGCTAAGAAATCACGTTGATAAATTACATAATGTCATCTTAGAAATAGTTGTTCAAGTCACAAAATTAAAGCATAGAAAGTGACAAACAATGAGAGTGCAAACCATTCTGCTCAGTGATCTAACAAAAACTCAGTAATATGATTATCTATCTTACACACTTAAACATACATGCCATTATATCTTTTAGAGCACTTTCCTTCTCTTTCTTTTTTATAATAGCTATTACACATTTCAGATCTTATCACTCTTACAGTTTTTGTTACTTTTTACACCAGAGAGATAATATGATACTTAAAAATATGATTCTTATTTATTTCACTTATAAGAATAGTCTCAAGCTGTCTCCATTTATCTATGAAAGCTTCAAGATCATCCTCTTTTATAGCTGAGTAATATTCCATTGTATAAAAATATCAAATCTTTTTCATCCACTCTGTGGCTGATGGGCATTTTGGCTGTTTCCAAGATTTAGCTATTACAAATTGTGCTGCTATGAACATAGGTGCACATATATCACTGTAACATGACATTTTCAATTTTTCTGGGAAGATACTAAGAAGGGGAGTAGCTAGATTAAATGGAACTTCCAATCCTAGTCTTGTGAGGAACCTCCATACAGGTTTCCAGAGTGGCTGCCCTTCCACCAACAGTGGAACAGTGTTCCTTTTCCCCACAGCCTCACCAGCATTTGTTATCAGTTGATTTCTTGATGGTAGCCATTCTTTCTTGAGTGAGATAAAATCTCAATGCTGTTTTAATTTGCATTTCTCAAATGAACAGTGATAGTGAACATTTCTTTATATATTTATTTGACATTTATATGTCTACATCTGAGAACTGTGTGTTCATCTCAGATTCCCATTTTTGGAGAGGGTCTTTGAATTTTGGGGGCTTGATGTTTTTTAATTCTTTATGTTCTGGATACAAGTCCTTTGTCTGAGGGGTTGTTGGCTAAAATTCTTTCCCATTCTGTGGGTTTTCTTTTCATTCTGTTGGTGATTTCTTTTGAAGTACAGAAACTTTTTAATAACATGAGGTCCTAATTGATGATTCTTTGAAGTGTTTCCTGTGAGGTTTGCATTTTGTTCATGAATTCCTGCCTATTCCTATGTCTCCAAGACTTCTACCTACCTTGTCTTCCAGTAGATTTAGTGTTTCTGTTTTAATATTTAGATCTTTGATCCATTTTTATTTTAGTTTAGTGTATGATGATAGATATGGGTCCAGTTTCATTAATTTTTCCAATACCATTTATTAAAGAGGTTACCCTTCTTTCAATGAATATGTTTAACCCTTTTATCAAATATCAGGTGGCTGAGTGTCTTTGTAGTTGTGTTTGCATCTTCTAATCTGTTCCATTGATCCTCAGGTTTATTTCTTTACCAGTACCATGCTGATTTTATCACAGTAGCTTTGTAGTATAGTTTTAAGTCAGGAATTCAGATGCTTCCTGTCTTGCTTTTGTTGCCCAGAATTGTTTTTGCTAGTCTAAGTTTCTTCTGTTTCCAAAGAATTTCAGGAGTGTTTTCTCTAGATCTGTGAGTTATGTTAATGGTATTTTGATTGGAATTGTATTAAATTTGTATAACAGTTTTGGGAGTATGGCCATTTTCACAATGTCAGTTCTTCCTAGCCAAGAGCAAGGAATATGCTTCCATTTTCTAACATCTTCTTCATGGATTTGTCTTTTTATTTCACTTGCTATCTTTTCAGATATTTCTGGAGTGTGAATTTTAATTTTTTTTAGTTTTTATTTTAAAGGGAGTAAAATTAAACACAACAAAATAGGACATAAGAAAGCAATATAAGAGATATAAATTTTAAAGCTAGACAACCTGAGATCTTCACTGTCTATCATATTGTCTCTAGTTTTCTTCCCAATAGTTGTCCATTCTTCACATACAGAGAATTCATACAAAACAACATAGTATAAAACTGATCTGAACAGAATGAAGAAGGTGATTTAGATCTTCAAAACCAGTCAATAGGGAAATCTCTAATGGCTGTCATAGAGTCTCTTGTTCTCTTCAAAATAGCTGCCCATACTTTCATTTGTATTAAAGTTCAACAAAACAAAACAGGCAGGGGAGAGGGGTTGCTTGGTTTCCCGGAGTTCCAGATCCTGGCATGGTACAGGTCTCAGTAAAAGCTGGTGGCTCCTGTCTTGGACCACCATAGCCTGCCACGCTCACAGCGGCTAAAGGTTGGGAGGGGGTATTGCTTCAAGCTGTTTCTTTCTAGTGAATTGACCATTTCACTGCCAAAGTTCTGGAATAGCCAACAGATCATAGAAAGACATCTCTTTAGGCTCCTGCTTGAAACCAACAGTGCTAGGTGAGATGGCTACATGAATTTTATCCATGATTCTCTTTATGAAGTGCATTATGTTTATTGATTTGCATATGTTGAACCATCTTGCTTCTCTGGGATGAAACCAACTTGATCATGATATCTTGATCTTGATATTTTAAATGTGTTGTTGAATTCTATTTGAAGATATTTTGTTTAGGATTTTTGTATCTATATTCAAGGTATCCCAATTATGTTGGCTTCATGGAATTAGTTTGGAATTGTTACTTCCTTGTTTCATAGTAGAGCTTGAAAAGCAATAACATTAGTTCTTCAAAGTTCTGACAAAAGTAACGTACTTTAAGCATGCTCAGAACAATTATATTAGCCTACAGTTGGACAAAATCATCTAATATGAAGCTTGTTTTTAATAAAGCATTTCATATTTTGTGTAATTTATTGAACACTATACTGAAAATGGAAGTTAGAATGGTTATATGGGTACATCTTCACATTATCTTAAAGTAAAAAAAATTACAAATCAGATCACTGTAAATCTAGGATGATCTGTAATAGTTTTATAATCTATCTCTTGCTTGTGATTTTTTTCACCTGAATCAAATGTTGATGAAAGCTACAAGTTGTTTGAATTATTTCCTGAGCTCTAAAATTAAATGTCACTTCTGATTGAATATAAATACACACCAATAGCATCCACAGGTTACAAAAAGTACTGCTTGCCTACCATATATTAAGAATCTATTTAAAGTGTTCAATAGTCTGTAAATGAAGCAAGTATTCAAGAATTCTTAAACATTCAAGTTCTTTTAGATATTCTATATTCTGTAAATTATAGGATAAAGTTGATGAATGCTTAAACGAGAAAGAAAGTTAAAATTCACAATTCTCTATCATGTCTACTTCATTGGAATAAATCTGAACCTTGATTTATTCCATCTTTGGTAATTGAAGATGCTTCAGTAATCAGCCAAATTTTCTAGTATTGTTACTGGAGATTTTGGCAGTGGTGTACCTTAAACCTTAGACCATATTTTTGGGGTTGAATATAAGAATGAATAAAATATACTCACTCTATGCATTTGTTATTGAAAGAAAATGTAAAGAAGTTATAAAATTTCTTCCTCTGCAGGCATTTATGCTGAGATCAATTTACTAAAGGTGCCTTATGGATGGTAATAAACTAAAAGCATATGAATAGCTATGGTATCATCTGGTCTCATGATTCTTAACAGCATCTATGAAATTATAATGTCTAGTTATCGGGTGGAATTTAGTTTTACTTTAATATTTTTCCTAAGGAAATTGAATGCTTTTTATTCTACTGTCTTACCTAAATGTAATAAATGTGTGATGTTATTGCTTTTCTTTATAATGCTTTTTATATTAGTGGGTAGTTCAACTTGCTCCCATGGTGACACTTCTGGGATATTTTCCAATCTTTTCTTTCTCTTAAAATAGACTGAGACCTCATGATCCATTTTGGAAAATATTAGAATTATCTACTATTTAGTGTCAGAACTATGCGTTTCCAGTGCTTCCGGAAAGCAATTCTCTGAATGACATAGTTTTCCAAGCTTTATCTGATTTGAATTCTACATAAGCTTGAAAAATTTTTTATTTGTAATATTATCTGATACTGTTTTAAGAATTAAAATTTCTTGTAAAGACAATGAGAAAATTAAGCATCATGCATTTAGTAAATATCTTTGGTAGAAAATTCCCAGAGACTTAAGGAAATTTTCCCTTTTTCATGTAAAGATTCAGAAGATATGAAAATGTTAGATAATTCTTAGGACTTCAAAAGAAATATTTCCATAGACAAAGTTTTAAAGTATTGCTATTTACTGTTGAGTGATAATTTAAACAATTGTGAAAATCTCTAGTAAAACAAATATATGAATTATATGGATCTTGGTCACCAAAACAGTAGAATAAACATTTCAAATTTTCTGTAATTACATGTATGTATTCAAGAAGTGTAACAAAAATTCAGTTTAAGGAAGGATTTTATGTTGTTTGAAAGAAATAAATCAAGAATGGTCCATATAAAAAAATAAAAATGAGTTTATTTAGAATCTCCACATGATGAAAAATACTTTTCTGAAATGGAATATATATTTTGTATAAGATCCAAGTATTGTTCAGTATTAGTATTATTTAGATCTCGGTGAAAAATGAGTAGTTTTCCAGGAGCACTGAGATTAAGAGATAAGAATTTGAATTATTAAATATATTATTAAAATATATCTAAAGTGATTCTGATGAACTTGATGTAGCATGGTGAAATTTCAAATCATCCATAAAACAAAGAAATACTCACTGAAATACAAAAGCCCTCTGGAAATACAAATCTACTTTATCAAGTAAAAATAGTTTCATCATGTTGAATGCTTACACATAGTTTACCATTGGCATAATAAAAATATGAAGATAACATGTAGATAGGCACATTTAAAATATTCTTTTTTATTTTAGAAATACTGTGTTCAAGTAGGTATAAATCTAAATGAAATCGAGACAATATGCTTTTAGGGGTCCTACAACTTACTTGAATCAAATCATAAACTGCGTGTAGTAATTAGGACACTGACTCTGGCATTTATATACCTGGAACAATTTTTATTGCTCAAAATACCTGAAAGGATTTGGGAAGTGATATTCATATTAACACTTTATCCAGGTGAAAATGCTAGCTAAATATTGCCCTAAAAAGCATATGTATTATAAACATAGACCAGAAGCCAGTATTTTACGAGTCTAATATGTACAAAGAACGTTTATGCACACTCTTATTTAATTCTTTTTTTTTTTTGGTCTTTTTCCTTTTTATTGGTACCGGGGATCGAACTCACGACTGCCTGCTTCCAAGGCAGGCGCTTATGCCGCTGAGCTAAACCTCCAGCCCCTCTTATTTAATTCTTTAAATAGCTTTGCATCATATGTGCTACCTACTCACATATTACTATCAAGGAATCCAGATTAAATGTTCAGTTAACTATCTGAGGGTGCTTCATGTTTGCCAGTTCTCCCCTCTGTCTCCACCCTTCCTATACTGTAAGCTTTTAGTTCTGGAGTTTTCTTACCCACATTTAGATATTATCTAGTGCTATCATATTGCAAGTAGGCTTTCTTGAGCTTATGACTCTCTGTATCTGTTGGTTTGTCTTCTACCTTTCTTGAAAAAATTATCCCCATTATTGTGTTCTTTTGAGTCTCTCTTTTATAGAATTAAGCATAATGTTATATATTTGTTTATTTTCTCAACTCTGCTTTTATTAGACTATAGGCTGCATATCATAATAAAGTGCTGGACACATAGCATATTTTAAATAAAATTTGCTGTGTGAATAGAAGACACTAGATTTGCTCTTCTTCCCATGGGAGAATGATAGGGTGGGGGAACTGGGATGGATGTCACGTGTTGGTTCCTGGTCATCACCTTTTCATGGCTTTTACTTTGAAAAGATGTACTTTATTTATAAAGAATTTTTATGTCCAAAATAAAAGAGAATTCTCAAATATCTCACCCCACTGATTCACTTGGTCTCTCCCCATCAACATCTCACATCTGTGTACCAGAGTGGTACATTTTTCACAACAAACTAATCAGTATTAACTTACCATTTACCAAAATCTATAGTTAACATTAGTGTTCACTGTTGGTTTGGTAATTCTGCTAGTTTTGACAAGTGTATAATGACATGGATTCCCCAATTGCAATACTATCCTTTAGGGCTTTACTATACTTTAGCTCTAAATAGCCCCTGAGCACCAACTATTCATCCCTTCCCTCACAATCCTTGTCAAACACTGATACTTCTACTGTTTCCATAATTTTGCCTTTTTCTGAACATCATGTAATTAAAATCATATGATACTTAGAATTTACAAAGTGATTTCTTTCCCTTAACAATACACACTTAAGGTTTTTTTGCATCTTTTTGTGGCTTGATAGCTTATTTTTTAAAAGTTGTATAATATAGTGCTGTCTGAACATAACACAATTTATCCACTAACCTCCTAAAGAAATCTGAACTGCTTCCAAGTTTTGACAACTATGACTAAGACTACTATCAATATATATATATATATATATATATATATATATATATCTTTTAAAATCTTTATATATATCTTTTAAAATCTTTATATATATCTTTTAAAATCTTTGCCCATGATTTAATAAGGTTGTTTGTTCCTTTTTAATTTTTGAGAGTTGATTGTATATTTTGAGTAACAGTCCTTTAAAGACATGTCCTTTGCAAGTATTTTCTTTTGGTCTTATTTTCTCATTCACTCGATCCTTTCTTACTTTATTCTCTTTCTGAAACTTTTTGGCACCTAGTTATCTTCTATTATTTCACTTGTTACAGGGAATAATTGTCTAATTCACTCTAAGATTTAGGTGAGTCATATCATTTGTTTCCCAAAAAAGTGGTGTCAGGAAATCATGAGGCTTACTAGATTAGAAAATAAATGGCCACTGATAGAATTTAATTGGGACTTATGATATTAAAGTGAGAACTTTTTTGGAACAAATTTTTTGTTAACATTTCCCCCAAATATTGGTGGTTGCAATATGTAAGCATCACTATGAGTATTTTTGTTCATAGAATTTCAATTTTTTTTTTTTTTTTGGTACCAGGATTGAACTCTGACCTTGCTCTTACCAGGCAAGTGCTTGAGCCATTGAGAATTTCATTTTTTTTTTACTATTTGCTTAGTCATTGAAATACTTTAAAAGACAAATAAAATAAAATATCATTTTATCATCTTGTAGTTGTCATAAAGAACACATTTGAAAATCCCAAGATGCTATATATAAATATAGTCAAGAAGGAATTAAGTAACTATATGCTTGAGACACTTAAACCTGTCAAAGTTCTGCTTGAAATAAAAACTCAATTCAAATTAGATTAGACAAAGAAAGTATATTGGCTGTGTTCCTGGTAAGGACAAGGGCTGAGCCCTTCCTAAATCTCCATGCCACTCAGCTGGCCTCTCCTGCTCACTGCCTTTGTTCTCAGGCAGGATTCCCTCACACTATGGATA